GCGCATCGTTTGTATTTTACACGCGATTACTAAATTGATTCATTGATTTATTTCTCGTGATATGCGCGCCATCGTTGTGTTCGACGTTTGGCTTTTTCCGAAAGCTGCTATTCATTAAAAATCCAGTCTTTTGGCTCAGCCAAATGGAAATTGTGCAAGTGTGAACGAGCAAGAGTAAACAGGAGACAGCATGAGGTAAAATGAGTGGAAAAGCAAGCATGAGACTTAACCAAAAGCCAGTGAACAAGAGAATGAGGACGAGAAACTGAACAAGTGCAATACAGAGAAACCATCGTAATAAATACCGTTTACTCGATGGAAACGGATCGCATAATGCACTGAACAATTCCCAAAAAGGTCATCGATACCCGACGATATGCACTGTTCCAAGGCATTTTGATAGATACCGACTTTTGAACGCTGTTACTTTCGATTGGATTATTAAATTTGATATCCGAAAAATCCATTCGCATTCTCACACTCTTTGTACAACCGCCGTCTGTTCACACACACAAAGTATTTCCATTTAAAGATGTTCCTTTGTGGTATTCTTGCACAGTGGTGGCCTGGCCAGTCGCCGGTATTCAATTGCAGAGTGTTTATTTGTGTGCGTGTGCTTGCAAAAGTGACGCAAGGCTTTTTGGTCAACAATAAATTTTGCCATGAAAGCCATTTGAATACGAACGGTGTGTGTTGCTGTTGTTTGCAACATTATTGATATTTATTGGATGCGTTAGCATTGACTTCAGCATGAGCATTCTGCGCGCCCGGAATGAAGTGTAGCACACATAAAATTCAAGATATTCGAATAAATTACACCTTCATCACAGTGTGGCGGCGTCGACGGCGGCGGCAATGGCGTCGATAAAGGCAGCCTCAGCAGCAGCAGCATCGTCAGAGTGCACTTTAGATAAATCGCACTTTAATAGACACTTCTTGTGGGCTGCATCCAATCGATCAACCGAAATAGATTCTCTTTTACAAATTGATTAATGTACGTCTCAGACGCAGAAACATCGTTACCACACTACACTAGTGTTGATGCATTCTACTGCTTCCAAATGAGGAGATTAATCACGATTTTGCCGAAATGCTGATTTATTACAATATTTCGAAAATGTGGCTGCTACAAGCAGCCAAAATCATTGGATTAATGAATGAAAATGCTCGAATATATCGTCGTCGATATTCCGTTTATTATTTTCGTCCTTTCAGTTTATTTTCGACTCGTTTTTTTTTATAATGAGACTGTGAACAAGTCTGTTGATTAGAGTTTGGCATTTGTTTGCGGCTGTTTTGATTATATCAAAATTAATAAGACAACTTTTTTGTGGTTCGTGCTCGACTCCATTTTCGAAATGTGTTGAGTTTAATATGTGTGAGTGTGAGTTGTTGCCGTGCGTCGTCTGTCGCATTCGTGTGGTTAATTAATGTGGCCCATAAAATAGATTGCATATGGCTTTGCATTTTGCTTTGGCTAATCAACAGTGGGAAAATTACGGTGCGCTTGCAAAACTCCCTTTATATTTATTCTCTCTGTCTCTCTCTCTTTTCCTCCCCGTCTCGTATTTGCCGTTCGTCTCGCCACAATGAAACATAACTTTATTATTAAATTTAAAGCAATTACACTCAAACAAATCACAACGAATATAAACAAAAACATATGTTTTTGGCTACCGAGAATAGAGAGCGAGTGAGACACATACCAAATAGAAATGATCAAATGAAAATTAAATAGAATTCGGCCAACGGAAAAGCTTGATGATTATTATTGTTATTATTATTATTTTGACAGATTGCCAGCTCGCAAATTCTATGTGTAATCACATAGTTTGTCACACACAGTGCAACGAAAAGAAAACAAGACAAAACAAAATACACAAAATCCGCTTTTTATTTTGGCATGCCAGCCAATGAGTCGAAAGCAGAGGACAGGAGGAGAAAAAAAATTGAGAGTCACGCTATTTAAATTAATGTTTATTTCACACCTACGTATTATCAGCGTCCGTCGAATCGTTTTGTTATTGTTGATTTCATTTTGGGACGCTAATATTTAAAGTTGCATGCTTTTCGCGTGCCACTTAATGCCTATGCACACTAATACGTTCGTGTTAAATTATTTTGTTGTTGTATTTTGATCGCTCCCCATAATAACCTATTGAACTAAAAAAAAACACCACAACGAATTGATGGACTCGGCCGGTTTTTGTGTGTGCTTTGTTTTGGGTCAAATTCCCTCGTAGACATTAGACGGCAGAAGAAAAATATGTCAAATTTTTACGGTTTTAGATGAAAGAGATGTTAATTTTAATGAGTGAAAAAACTTCACACATTCCCGACGTGAGTGGTCCAACGTAAAAGCAACACATTTGTGTCGCCAATTCCCTATTTACACACGGTACCATCTCATCAAATGTCAACCAAATCGTAGTATTACATATTTTACGACTTTTCTTCTTCTCACACATCCAATGCTTTAATTTCCTAAATGCATTGATTTATAGCTAACAACACGATTCAGCAGTGTTTGTGTTTTCCGTCGTATTTCTTGTGCTTCCTTGACTCTTTTGTTCGCTGATTGATATAATGTGTGTGTGAGAGTATGTTTGGCTTCTAAAAGCTTGAATTACAATAAATGTCATGTTAACGCTTCAGAAAAATGCTCAACAAAACATATTCGATGCCAATTGCCTTGTGATTCGAAATAAACTATTTTCAAATGCGAAATATTTCGAACACCATGACAAACAAAAGAGAAGAATACAAGAATAGTGTTCGTCTCCATAGAGTCAACCATAGAGAAATAGAGAATACGAGAAGTGGAGACAGAGCGGAACGAAAAGACAGAAGAGCGAGAAAAAAGTAGTATCCTTCATCACATTATTGGCATGCCACATGCGTAGGTAATTTCGAGCAAACATGTGATTCATAGTCATAATTCAAACATGAGAGAGCATTATTAAACGGCTCACTTGTGATTCAAGTGTGTTATTTTGACCGTACTCGCATTGCTGCTTCTTTCTTTTTTTCTATTATGTCGAATATATCGTTTGCTCAATCGAAACATATATGTTTTCGTTCAAACGATTGAGCCAAATCGGAATGCTATACTATTAACTATTCATTTGGCTGCGTGTACGTTTCGTACTCGAGCATCATTCGAATTATGAGAACGAGAGAGATAGAGACAGAGAGAGAGAGCGAGCGAAAAAAAAGAAGTTCAGGATTCAGCGAAAACAAATCGTTTTGTACGTGTGCCAAATATGTGATTGCAATCTCGCAAAAGCCATTTTTAAGTCTTCTCTCAATCGATTCGAAATGAATACATTTCATTCATCTCAATGAATTGCACTGTTTTTATTCTCGGATGCTTTTCGTTCGGAAATTATTTTGGCTGGTGAAGAGAGATGAAATTTAATAATTGCTCGCTAATTTGGCGACGTGCGTTTGAGCGCCCTACCAAGCTATATCCTTAAGCCGATTTATGATATTATAAAATAATGTTAAAATAAACGTAAATATTAAAATCCAAACACACAACGCAAAAAACTCTTTGTGCTGAGCGGATTTTGGGATTTTTTCGTGTCGGTACATTCGTGGTATTGAATGTTTTTTGAAAGAAAAAGCGATTGTTTTTCCTGCGTGTATGCACGCTTCTCACATCTTCATTCTCGATTTAAGCAGCTTGAATGAACAATACCGCTGATGCTTGTCGACTTTTGTCTTCGCTTTAATGCGAGCAACGCTTTTTCAAATCATTTCCTGTTTGTGGCGGTGTATGGCTGTGCATCGCACGTGTACCAAATTTTATAATTGACAACAGAACCGGTTGCTTGATGTGTTTTTATTGCATTGCCGTCAGAGTCATTGTCGCGCGCGCAACAGTCACGTGAATGAGCCATATCGCTTGCTCTCCTGCTCTCCCCGTTCTTACTCTGCAAAGGCATTCTCCCTCAACGCGATAGGAAATTAATTCTGTGTTTCGACTGCTTTAATAATGTGGGAGCTTTTATTTTGTAATCCAGTATTTTGTATTACGTTGTTGTACCGAGTCCCGCGGCCGTTTCGTGTTCATGTCACGTACTAAAAGCAATGGCAAAGCCTCTCTATTCTTGCAATTTCATTTAATATTATTTATGAACGCTGTGCTTCTCGACAATATTAATAAACATGCTCCAAAATTAGACGACGCCAGCCAACAAAAACCAACAGCGTAACAGCGACTACAGCACAATAGATAGAGAGAGTGAGTGAGTGAGCGAGTGACGTTGAATAGCGTGCCATGAACTCGAATCGAACTGAAATTCTTACGTTGAAAAAGTTGAGGAAAAAGTTTCTCGGTTGAAACAGTAGGCGCAATAAATACTATAATGGCTCAATAATAACAATTGAACAAAGAATATAACGGCATTTCTCTCTGTTGCTCGCGCGAGAACACTCTCTTCATAAAGTCATCATAAAATTTTATCTTAACCAAATAGACAAATCATTTGTGCTAAAGTTTGTGTTTGCTTCGAATAAATGTCAAGTGAATGAGCTTGTATACATATACACACACAAAAGAGATTGAAGAGGGAGTAGCGGATGTGGCGATGGAATGATCGGTCTTATCCCTCTTCAAGTGTTTGCCACTCCATCACAATGACAATCCTCTTTTAAGCCAAATGAATGGAACGAGAAATAAAAATTCATTTCTATTTTTATTCGTTTTGTTAAAAATAACCACACAATTTTGCTATTGTTGAGGAAACTGCACGACGAATAAATACAGTTCAATTCCGTAGTATCTTTCTCTGGGTATCACAGCGTATGTGCCACATATTTGTGACATTCACAGTAATGAATTTGCGTCGGCGACCACATTAACATTTCGAACATTTGATCCGGTTGCGGTTGCGGTTGTTGTTTTGTTTCATATTTGGCCACGCCAAAGTGTCAAAATAAAGTGACCTGCATCTGCTTTGAATGATGCAAAGGAAATTGAAATTCATAATACTCACAATAAAAACAGCTACTTGAAGTTTTTTTTTCTTATGGAAATTTTGTGTATGTGTTGTTCTCGCTCGCTGTCTTTTGTTGAAAATCTGTAAAGAACAAGAAAAAGAAAATGATGAGAAAATTTCACGAAAAATAATTTTCCTCCAACAAAATTATTCTCATGGGTTATTTGAGGCAAAATGAGCAAGAGAGAGAGAGAGAGAGAGAGAGAGAGAGAGAGTCGAAAACTGATGGTACAACATTTCGTTGTTTGGTGACCTTTTTATAGCTCTCGCAACAATGTGATTGCTGCGAGAATAACGAACTATTTATTTCAAGATGATGAAGAAAAGTTTGATGATTTATTTCGAATGAAATACAATTTGGTTGGTGCGCTTCTTCTTTTTTCGTCGCACTCTTGCACACGCTCTTGCTCAAAGTTATCTATCAACATTCTGAGTCCAAGAAGCTGTCGCTGATTTTGATAGTGAAAGACGGACACACTTGCTAGCACGTAAAAATTACGTGCTTGAAAAACTCGACAGAGAAAAATCTCGTGAAGACAAAACTCTGGCGAACGAAATGATAGAGAGAGAGAGAGAGAAATGGCGAAGAAAGAAAAAATTATGCTGAGTTTGTCTTGTGTTTTTAAATGTAATGAACGCGCTCGCGTTCGGCATCACATACTTGATATTTCTTTATATCTTTTTAGCACTACATGAAATGTAGAGCTACTAATCTGCTTTTTTTTTCTAGATACTTTTTGAGTGATGAAACAAATTATGGTGAATTTGAATTTTATGCACATATTTTTTATTTAATTTAAAACAGGTGCACTAACGACAAATAAGTGCACAACATCTCAAAGCGCCAATCAAATTTTTATTATCAAATGTTGTTTAAAAATTACATTAATTTTTCGTATAGTATTTTTCTGAGTCTTGAACAGAATTAAAGTGATTTTAGATTCTATGCTCATATTATTTATTTAATTTAAACCAAAGGCAGTATATTTCAAAAAAGAAATAAAACCAAGGTCTTGTCATTCATTTTGCAAAGTAATATATTACTTCAAAGCTACTTTGATGAAAAAAATTTCATGTAGTGCGCCAAAAAATAGTTTTTTGTGAAACAACAAAATAGATTAAATAACTAAAAACTCAAGAAAGCAGAGCGGAGCAAAGCAAAGCTCTGCGGTCTTGTTTTTCACTCTGTGTGTGTGTGTCTCGTTGTCTCTCATCAATGTCGAGAACCATTGTTCGCCGTCGACATAGTGAAACTTTGTTATCGGTTTTTCAACCCTTTAATAGTTGGTATTAATGGGCGAAATGACAGCAGAAAAAAAAATGTTTCTATACCTCCTTCGAGTTCGAACTATTGACAAAAGTGAGAGAGTGGTGTAACGTGATCTCATTCACGTTCGTCACCTTTGTCACCGTGCGCTTAAGCTGCTCCGTTTGTGGAAATAACGAATTAATATGCTCTCTCGCTTATGTCATTTGATTTTATTCGCTTTCAGTTCATTGACAATTGAGTCGTCGAAAAATGTTATTTATAAATGCGTTGCAATCCAAGGATCATCACACACACACACACAGACACACGCGCGCGCTCATTGTTCAAAACGCCGGGCAATGTGTCGATACGCGTAAAGTTAACCGGCGAACGAGTGAGAAGAGGGTGACTGTGCGAGTGAGTGAGAAGGAAGCAAAAGAATATGCGAACACAAAGATAGCGAAAAGCTAAGGACAGGCGGGCGAGCGCGCGAGCGAGTATGAGTGAGTGAGTTTAGAATACAAGCTTTCTCCATTACTTGAACCGATAGCAATGCACTGTAAATCGTTTTTTATTCAATTCGTCGTCGTTTTTTCCTGCTATTTTGCACTTGATTTTTCGTTTTTTTCTGCGTTACGCTGTGTTCGCTCTCTTCACAATTTTCATTCAGTTGATTATGCTTGTCATACGTACGGTATGAGATCGTGCGAGATTGTGTACATCTCTGTGTCGTTTCATAATTTGGTCCGCAAATAAATTGTGTCTGTGTGCATCAACAGCACTAGTGTGAATTCTTTTCTTTGGCTGCGCTATTATTTGCTATATGAAATTCTATTACCCAGTGTGTTCACTTGATACAACTTTGATACACAATGGATATTAGTGCTTGGATTTTTTTTTTACTACTATCTTTCTTTTGTTTGTTGTTTATTTGAATATAGTGTGTATTTTGACATGATGGCGAGCAACGACGAGCGTACGACACCAAATGAGAACGAATGAACTCTAGCGTAATGGTCGAGAATTGACGCTAGCGAGAGAAAAAAAAACGCCAATGCAAAATAGAACGAGGGAAAAAAATCCTAAATAAATTCGACATGGTGTGTAGCGACCGCTGATGTGTTAGTCATACAACCAATTGAAGCAATAGCAGCAGCAGAACTCAAAACCCTAGCATCAGACAGTATAGCAGCGATGATATCTCTGTCTTCAGTCATTCCCTGTTTTTTTTACTATCCAACTGAAATTTACAAACTTATCAACAAAATAAATATTAAATCTGGCACAACACACGCATCTCCAAATCAAAGTGCCCTCCGCAGGAAAAAAAAAACGCACACGATTGGACAACCGAAAACACTGACGAGAGATAAATTTAATAGAATCACAACGAACATTGGTTCATTGCTGTGAGAGGCAAAACGAAAATGAAAAACTTCTGGCGAATATAAAATAAAGATTAAAACGATTTCCATTTGACTGGCAAGCCATGGAGGAAGCTGATACATGGTTGCATTTCAAAAATGAACGAGAAAAAAAGCCAACCAAACGATGCCAGACCAAATGGCTCGCAGGCCACCGATTTGCCAAGACCTTGGACTTGCATCGACAGAACAACAGTCAGAGGCGGTAGCAGCAGCGGCGGCAGCACGGCACGGCACAACACCAACACGGGCAACTCAATTGTATAAATATCTGAATAGCTTTGCGTTGCATCTACCTTTCAGTTCACCTTCATTGGTGCACGTATGAAGCGAAACAAACGTCTCGTTTGAGCTGATGAAGCAGACGTTCGTTGTGCCAACCAAGTGCCCGTCTCACCCTTCTTCACTTTTCCTCACACTCGCTGCTGCTCGCTCTTGCTTTATTGCAACAACGATGACGACGACCTCCAGCGCAACAGCCATCAAAACGGAAAAAATTATTATATTAAAAAGAGAGCAAAAGAGCATGGGGCAAAACAAGTGGAGCCAGTGCAAAGAAAACATTAAATTTGAAATGAACAATACGTTTTTGTGCTTGCAACAATCGAAATCATTTTGCACACACATGCATCAAATACAATTGTGCTGCTCGTCGTACGTCGTCGTCGTCGTCGTCGTCGTCGTCGTCGTCGTCATACACCGGCGTGTGCATGCATGCAAACATCAACCATACCAACGAAAATATCCATCAGGTATAATAAATAATTAAACGGTTAGTGATCTGTTGCATTTGAAACGGATGTGGGTTCGTATTTCGTGCGTGACGTATTTACTGTGTCTAGAGATGAGTTTTTCTCTCTCTTTCTTCTTCACTCTTTCACTCTTTCTCCTTTCCTCTTAGTTTTTTTTTGCCGTGGTATGGATTTAAACATCCAAAGCATTAGATCTGCAGGCACCGCGCCAAAACTCCCTCCTTTCTATCGTCCAGGCATATGTACACACAATATGCATTGCACAAAAAACCAACTAAACAAAACAGCCAGCCAAACGAATTACCATTCACTTTTATTCTACAAAGTACTTAACGAAGCGTTAACAAGTTGCTGCTTTAATACTGTTAGCTTGGATTTGTTTTTCCCTTCAACTCACTCTTTCGCTTTGTCTTCTTCGTTCGACTCACTCTTAACGTTCGCGAACATTATTAATAATAATAATATAAGTGCAGTAAAGTTTTTTTCAGCTCGTCTCGCCGGCGAATCGGGATGCGTTTTTGGATCTTCGCCTTCTCTGCACAAAGCACACGCTAACTTCTCTTGTCAAATCGTTCACATTTCAGTCGAGAGAAAATTGTTTATTCGAATTTAATTGAATCAATTATGAAAGTTTTACGTTTTATGTCCGTGAACAAGCGATAGAACTGAAGTTCACCTTTTTCGTTATTGTAGCGCGAGCGCGCCGGCAGCAATTCCACCGACCATCACACAGAACGAGAAAAGAAAAAACAATATATAAACTCCTCTGAAATGATAATCATGTTTATTAAACGTGAATACATTTTTCAATCGAAAATCCAAATGCTGCTGCCGTGCGATTTCAAATAGATTTTGCACGTATTCGATACAGGTGCACGATTCCAAACGTTTAAAACGATTATTGAACCGGTGCGCAATGTGAGAGAGAGAGTGAATCGAAATGAAAAAGTAAAAACAAGCGAGAATGAGAGAGAAAGGTAGTAAGCGAAGAAAATATGTACGGAAATTTTATCACATCAATGACTTTGACATTCATCGAAAATGTTCTCACTTTCAAATTGCATGCAGAACACGAAACGCCCGGTCATAGTGACTTTGACAGCTCGCGCTAATATTATCATTTGTCGTCATCACATCACATCGATGAGAGTAGCAATGCGGGACGAGAGTAAAAAAGAATGTCACCGACAAACGGACGAAATGTGAAAAGTCAACGAGTGTTATGGGCGCTTTGACATTAAATGCATCTCGTCATCGAGGATGACGAGAAACATTTCGGTTTTTTTCCAGCGAGTAAGAAAGAGAGAGAGAGAGAGAGAGAACTGATGTGAAAAAACTAATTTCTATTGATCGAATGAAAAGCTCACTCTCCCAGGCGAACACCGACGAATTGTAACATTTTTTACATTTTTCGTTGCGATTGCAATTGTAAGTGCAGCGATAGGACGCGCATTGAAGGTGATATGATGATGATGATGATGGTGTTGATGAAAGCCAGCGTGAACGAATCGTAAAACATGATAAATGCAAAATGAGATTGATATGGAAACGGCGGCAAATGCTCGCTTTGGCATTCACAATGGGAAAAACGGTATTCATGTGAAAATCGAATGTACATGTGGAATGTTTACTTGCGCTTCGTCGTTTTTTCTCTCT